GAGAGGGGGAAGGGCCAGAGGGAGAAGCAGACACCCTGCTGAGCAGGGAGCCGGATGTGGGACTCGATCCGGGGACTCCAGGATCATGACCTGAGCTGAAGGCAGTCACTTAACCGACTGAGCCACCCAGGCGCCCCTATTTTCTGCTTTCTTTATATTTTCCTGGATCCAGACTGCCTATTATTATTATAGTTTGTTATTTGTTTTATTGCATTTGCTTATTGTCACAACTTCATATCCTTTGTAGAACATAGCTGTTTATATTTTATTTTTTTAAGATTTTATTTATTTATTTGAGAGAGAATGAGAGGGAGAGAGAGCATGAGAGGGGGAGGGTCAGAGGGAGTCGCGGCAGCCAGATGGGGGACTGATGCCGGACGCGGGACTGATGCCGGACGCGGGACTGATGCCGGACGCGGGACTGATGCCGGACTCGATCTTGGGACTCCAGGATCATGACCGAAGCCGAAGGCAGTTGCTTAACCAACTGAGCCACCCAGGCGCCCCTAGCTGTTTGTATTTTAAAACAGTATAGATTAGGGGCGCCTGGGTGGCTCAGTCATTAAGTGTCTGCCTTCGGCTCAGGTCATGATCCTGGGATCGAGCCCCGTATTGGGCTCCCTGCTCTGCCGGAAGCCTGCTTCTCCCTCTCCCACTCGCCCTGCTTGTGTTTCCTCGCTCGCTGTGTCTCTCTCTGTCAAATAAATAAATAAAATCTTTAAAAAAAATAAAAAATAAATAATAAAACAATATAGATTAGACTGAATCTGGCCATGCTCTTAAAAGTATGCTTGATAGAACTAGGCATGTTTAACTTAATGAACTGGAAACATAGAGGAACTGGAAATATAGAAATCTTTGGATGTTTGAACTGCCAGGTGGGAAAATGATTAGATATATTATGAATAGTATCCAGAGGTCAGAACAAGCATTTAGGATAACGGATTTGGGGTGCCTGGGTGGCTAGTAGGTTAAGTGTCCGATTCTTGGTTTTGGCTCAGGTCCTGGTCTCCGGATTGTGGGATCTAGCCCCGTATCCAGTTCTGCACTCATTGGGGAGTCTGCTGGAGATTCTCTCTCTTTCTCCCTCTCCTTCTGCCCCTCCCCTCACTCTTTATCTCT